GGCAATAGCTCTGGGCATGCTGGCCGGTCTGGCTGTGCCAATGTAGGACATGCAGTTGGCTGTGCGCTGGGAGGTGGTGAACAGGCCCTGGTCTGGCCCTCCGACCACCAGTTTGCCTTGGGTCAAGGCTAGAGCCAGCACCTGGGCCTTCCTGGGTTGGCTTAAGCTCTGTCTTCTGTGCAGTGTTTCTGGGTGCGAGTTCATGCAAACTTGTTGCTACAGCTTCTATTCGTATTACTTTATCATTATTTTTTATCATCTCCCGCTTGGACCTTTGCTTCACAAAGGACAGAATTTTAAAACCCCAGGTGCCCAAATCCAGGGGCAGTGAAGATGGCCAGAGCTTGTATCTGAACTTTGTCTCTGCTGCTGCTGGAGGGGTTCCCTCGAAGGTCCATCCTGCCTCCTCGTGGCCCATTTCCACTTATTCTATTCCTCCCAAAAGCCCTCAGGCTGGTGCTATGGGGTCCCTGCTGACTTCTCTCTCCCTTCACTGCAGCTGCCAACTTCCCATGGGGCTTGGTGCCACCCGGGCTGAGTCCCACCTCCACCCTACAGATTCCCATTAGCCTGACACCCCCCTCCAGGAAGCCTCTTGGCTCCCCCCTCTCCAGCCCCTTCTCTCCCCCCGGGTCCCCGCTAATGCCTCCAGTATGGGGGTGTCCATTCCCTGCTCTGTCTTATCTAGATTGGGGGTTCCTCGGGATGGAGCTGAGGCTTCTGGCTGGAAGGCAGCATTGCCCAGCCCAGCCAAGAACAGAAGAGGATGCCGTAAATATTATCTTTAAAGGGCAGTTCCAAGGGATTGGGCCCCCACCTACCCCAGTCTATGCGGGAGTCACTCCTTGGGGAACAGCCTGCAAAGAGGGGGCTGAAGGCGGAAGCAGATGGCTCTGGGAGCAGAGGGTCCGGGGGCGGTGCCGAGAGAGTTCCATGTGGCCCTAAGCTTTCCATAGAGCCTTTGCAGGGGGCTGCCGACCTTCCCTCGATTCTCTCTGCCACTTCACATCTTTTTGTATTTTGGAAGCAAATTAAAATTTGTTGTTCAATTGGTGGTAATTATTAACTTCACAAAATTCACTGTCTTGGCTCTGATTTATCGAAGCCTCCCCCAGTGCCAGGCCCTTGGCTTGCTACTGGATTCCTTCCAAGATCTTGTGTCACCAGGAGGCTTTCCAAATGAAGAAACTGAGGCACAGAGGTGTGAGATTGCTTGGCGGGGGTCACACAGCTCAGATGAGGGGGCGCTTGCCTGGGAACCCAGGACTGCTGGGCTTTGGAAGGAAATGGTTGGGATGGGGGAGGGGTGCAGCAAGTAGCCCTGGGCTCAGATTCCAACTCCTCACTCTTTCACAGGTTAGAGGAGAGGGGTAAGCAGGCATAAGATCCCAAAACAACTGGGGGGGGGGCGGAGACTGAAGGAGGCCTTAATGGTGGCGGTGGTTCCTGGGACAATGATCAGTTGCCCTGAATGATAGTGAGCTCTCGGTCCCCAGAGGTATTCATTCAAGCAGACAGAAACATCTCAGGATGGCAGGTTCGCCTCTTCCCATCTTGAACAGCTCGGTTTTGTTTTGTGGGCTCAAGGTAGCGGGGGTCAGGCCTCGGAGTGACACCCCAATCCTGTGGACCCTCCTCCCCTTCCCCAGCTGGGGGACCCAGCCAACCTCTCCCAGTCCCGTCCTGGCGCGGGGCAGCTTCCGGCCCTCTCGAATTGGCTGCGGAGGCCGATGACGTCAGTGGTTGCCATGGTGAACGCCCCGCTCTGGATGTGGGCAGCCCAGAGCCCACCTAGGTAAAAATAGTCATGTGTCCTCGACGCGACCGCCCTGGCGTGTGTGTGTTGGGGCGGGGAGGGGGGGAGGGAGGGATGTCCAGAGACCTGGATTCCCTGCCTTCTCTCTGCCAGGAGACATGGGCAGCTGGCTTCCCTCTACGCCTCAGTTTCCCAGCCTGTAAAATGGCCCTTGCTCCTGGTCTGTAGTAGGCGACTCAGTAAATGTAAAATATATCAGGTATTATGATAGTCCGCCTAGGCCCTGGCTGAGCTCAACAATAACACAGCAACACACAACAGCAACAGTAATACTAACTGATCATTATCACCCTGGACCCCTCCTGTTGTTACCTCCACATTATAGATGGGAAAATCAAAGCACGGATGGTACAAGTTACTTGCTTAAGGTCCCACAGCCGGGAAGGAACAGATAATAAGTAGATCTGGACCCAGGTCTGAGTATCCCCAGATTCTAAACTGGTGCTACATGGCCTTTTGAGAATTTAAAAACCTTCTTGGGTGAGCCACATTTGAGGATGGACTCGGGTCACCGTGGACCCCAAGTGCAGGACTTTTTGCCCTGGTGAGGACACCCAGGGTTGATGCAAGTCAGCTTGCTGAGCTCTAAAAGGGTCTTCAATAGGGAGTCACGGATCAGGGCCCCCACCCTCCACCGGCTCCCAGGACACAAATCTGCATAGGTGAGGGGGAAATGGCTTTCAGATCTGGGAGGGGGCAGGGTGAGGATGAGTCAAGAATCTTCCTTTCCTCAACAGATTGTTAGTATTTAGCCACTATTGAGATACTTCCTTATAAATATAACTAATTTGTTATTTAAAATAATGAAGCTGTTTTTAGGGCAAGTAGGGTATGAGCTGGGCAGGGAGGTGACTGGGAGTCTGGAAGGGCTTCAGGAGGAAGGGATGCCTGAGCTGAGGGATGATGTGCAATTAACTAGCACCAGAGGGGAGGAAAGGCAGTCCCGGCAGAAGACACAGCTGGTGCAAAGGCTCTGAGGCAGGGCAGAGCCCAGTGTGTAGGGCAGCAGAAAGGAGGCATTGTCTGGAGCTGGGTGATCAAGGGGCCAACGGGGTGGCAGGGGGCGGCGGCGGTGAGGTGAGTGGAGGGCCAGGGATGTGAAGGGTTTGTCTCCTCAGGAGTGACCCCTGTTTCCTCTCATTTCAGAAGGAGCTGAGCCTGCCACGCCGGGGACGTGGGTGAGTTCATCTAAGGCCAGTGGGCTGGGCTGGGCACTGTGGTCCTGGGCACAGATTTTTCAGCAGCAGCCTCCAAACTGTGAATTTATTTAATGATTATAACAAAGCTTCTAACCTTGATCCTTTCCCAGTGTTACAAAATGCTTCAGAAGTGCTTCACTTGGCTCTCACAAGCTGGGAAGCCCATGCCAGTTTGCAATTGAGGAAACAGAAGTGTAGTAGGGTTGTACCACTGACACAAGGGCATCCAGCCTGGAAAAGAGAAAACTGTCTCGCATCTAGAGTCCAAAGTATAGAATTCCAGCCAAGTATCCTGGAACCAGCTTGCATGCCTCCCATGATGGGGCCCTCACTCTTGGGGAACACAGGTAGAAAAGTGTATCCTTCAGGGTCTCATTAGCGTTTGTCTGTAGGTTGGCATTTTTGGATCCCAAAAGCTCACAGAATATTTTGGTCAGTGCCTTTGCTGGTTTACTGATGGGAAATCAAAGCCCAGGACAGGGAGGGGTTTGCCTTGTGCTGGTGGTCTGGAGGTGTTTGAGTGCAGACACCCCCTCTTTGGGGGCTGTGTTGGCCTGAGGGGTGGGAATTCTCTTGCCCCGCAGTGAAATCACCCACTTAAACTTTTTTTGAGTGCCTACTGTGTGCCGGGCCCTGTTCCAGGCACGGGGGACCCAGAGACAGGGTCCTATGCTGGACCCTGTCCATGAGCTCACACTGTCTTGGGGAGAGTGATGGTGAAGTGATATTATACAGGGGAGAAATAAACAGAGACAGACAGAGGGGCTAGGGGGCAGCTTTAGCCCTGAAGATGTGGGGCCTCTTGGAGGAGGTGACATTTGAGCCTAGATCTGGAAAAGGAGGCAGAGGCAAGGGGGAAAATCCGAGGGGAACAGCCTTCCAGCTAAAGGGAAGAGTATAGGCAAAGGTCCTGGGGTGCAAACCAGCTTGGCGTTGGAAGAACACCACGGAGACAGGGGTAGCTGGAATGAAGAGAGCACAGGGGAGGTAGAGGGAGAGGAGAAGGGGGAGTTCCTGGGGGTTGGATGAGAGTTTGAAATCTGATGGTGGGGATGGGGTCAGACTGGCCCCCAAGCCCAGACCATCTGTTCTTGTTGGACTGGGGATAGTGCAGCTGGTGGGGAGGAGCCTGAGGGGCACAGTAGGGGCAGGGCTCCGACATTGACCAGAAGCCGGGCACTGTCCCTGGCCTTTGCCCAGGCTGAGGCCGGGGTGGTGGACATGAAAAAGTCGGAACCATGGAGGGCAAAGTCCTGGGCTACCGGGGCAGGACGAGGGCAGAGGCTCCCTGAGGGTTGTCTACTCTTTGCTACCTGCCGTGTTCCTGACTGGGTCCAAGTGGAGTATCAAGGGGGCCGTAGCCAGACACAAACAACTCCGGACTCTTGGGATCTGCACTGGGCAAAAGGGAGGGTGGGACTCGGGGAGCCATGGGTCGTTGTTTAGGGATGGCTCCGCGAAAGAGGGGCCCGTGGGACTGAACTCGGATGTGGGTGAGGGGGAGGACGCTCCTGACAGAGGGAACCCGGTGAAGCAAAGACCTGGAGGCGTGGACCCGGCCTCTGGTGTGCACCGGGATGCTGAGACCGCCGCGAGGGGCCCCGAACGCTGCGCTGAGCTGCTGGGGGTGGGGGAACAGGGGAAGGACGCGCTCAGATCTCGGGTGCGAGAGACCCCCCCCCGGGGGCGGGGCGAGGGCAGAGACCCGGCCCCCGCTGGGAAGGGGCGGGGCCAGACGATGGAGCAATATTGCCAATCTGGGAGACAGTGACCGCCCTTCCTCTCCGGCCGCTCAGCCCGGGGGCTCGAGACCCGGCAGCCTTGGCGTCGCTTTCCGGGAGGGGGTGGCACCCGCGACTCCAGCCTCCCGCAACCCGACTTTTCCTGCTGGGCTGGGCCTGCGCGCAGGTGCGGGGCTCCGAGCCCCGCCCCGAGGAGGAGAGAGCCCGCCCCCCGCGCCCCCAGCGGCCCAGCCTCAGCGCCGCGTCGGTCGCGCCCGCCAGGCGTGCTGTCCCCACGTCCGCGTCTGTGGGTCTGTCCGATCGCGCCACGATCGGGGCTCGGGGGCCACAAGGGGGGTTTTGGCACCCGGCCGCGTAGACGCAGCCCCGGCCTCGGCATGAAGTCTCGCAGGGACAAGCTGCACATCCCGGCGCTGACCCTCGAGTGAGTCCTTGTCGGAGAAGGGGGGAAATAAGGTGGGGGGGGAGAGAAGCAGACAGACAACCACCCTTACCCCGCGTCTCTGTTTAAGTCGCCCAGAGTCGCACCGCCGCCTCCGGGGAGCCCTCCGGGGTGCCCTCCGGGGTCATCAGTCAGGCCCCGCCCTCTCGGCCTGTGAGAGACCCAGAATTCCCGGCCTTGGGGCCCCTTCTCCCTGAGGGAACCTAAGTCCTGGTCCCTCTCCGGATTTGGCCACACGCAGGGGCCACCACCAGGTTCACCGTCCCTGGCCTCTTTCTTTGCAGTCTGTCTCCGAGCAGCCAGAGCCCATCTTTGCTGAGCCCCAGCAGCCCCTGCAGCCCCTGCAGCCCCTCACTGGGCCTGCACCCCTGGAGGTAAGTGACAGCACATGGGGGCGGGGCTCGGACATTGTCCTGGCACCCCAGAGCCTTGGAAGCCACCTAGACCCAGCCTCCTCACCAAGGTACTGTGAGCTGGTGACATCACCTCCCTGGCCTCAGTTTACCCCTCCATAAAATGAAACTGCTGTGCACACTAGGACCTTGAAAGGGAAATTCCATTTTCAGCCCTACCCAACAGGTCCTCCATCTGACAGGTGGCCAAGGTGAGGCCAGAACTTGGGATGTTGCCCAAGGACATCCCTGAGACAGGTGCTGGATTCCCAGGCTGCTCTGGGCCCTCCCTACTGAATCAGCCTGGCCTTCCAGGCTAGGACCTCAGGGGCCTTCCCCACACCCAGCTCACACACACACACACACACACACACACACACACACACACA